TGCGTTTTTTGCGGGTTTGCGTTTTTTCGTAATATCGTTCTAGAAAGAAAGTTAAAAATAATTCAACTTTTACATTTGTAATTTACAAAAGTTAATATTACTCTGATATTAACTAAAATTTAAGATAAAAAACATCACAAAAACGTAATATTGTTTTTTTCTAGAGCGATATTAGGTACGCAAAACACGCAAACCCGCAAAAAAACGCACGCAAAAAACGCATAGTGTAGCCAGGCCTTTAGACAGCTAGTAATCCATCCTGTAGAGCCTGGTTTACAGCTTCCTAAAGCTTTGACCTTTTTTGGCGGCCGCTTTGGCGCCACATTCAGACTGGCTGGCTACAGACACCTTCTGAATCGTCCCGAATATCCTATCGTGCTGACTAAATACCAAGACTCGGAGTCCTCCATGTTGCGACGTCAGATCTACCTATCTACAGGAACTGGACTCTATAGCAAAAAACGTTTCGTGTGGAGAAAATGATCATTGTGGAGCATATTAGGTACCAGTTGATATCACAACCACATAAGCTGATTTAGGAATTAAAATCAGCGTGTTTTGAAACCAGAGAACGCATAAAAATAAAATTCAGGTGAGAACGAACTTATGGGACACCCTGTACATTGCCACTCGTTCATCTGATGCAATGCTGTTCATTCCTCGGCTCCTTCATTCCCCATGAGTACTTTTGGTTTTTCGAGTCGTTTGGTCGACCATTTTTTAGCTCGATCCTCCGTTGTGACAGTGGAATAGCGATTTATGATTCACTGTGGCTTATCCCTCGCCCTGGCAGGGCATTTTTCATAACACGGCCTGGCAGGTGGGGGGGGGGGGGGGTCGATGCGACCCCCCCTCGCGATTGGCTCCTATGGCACCTAGAAACACCAAATTTGGTAGGTAGGTGGGCCCTCTGGAGTTCTCGCCCCTGTGCAAATTTAGTTGCTCTAGGTCAATATTTAGGGGGGTTTTGGGGGGTATAAATTAAAAGATTCCGCTAAAAACAGGCCAAAAGTTTTTCGCTTATTACTTTTGATCTAATTAAGATAGAGGAAAAAGAAAAGCAGCAGTAACTCAGCACGTCAAGGCGCGTCGAATGATATACTTTTTAGCTTGTTTAAGTGTACTTAAAGTTTTTCTTAAATTTTAAGTAAACTTAAATTAATAAACTAAGTTCAAGTTAACCAAATTGCATCATATCACATATCATTCGATTCGGCTGATCACCAGGAACACAATGATACCATTTTTAAGCTCTAGCGTCATTATGTGCCAAGTTATTGGCAAAAACGTAATTTGACCTCAGTTGACCTCATTTGACCTGACACATGGATAAGTACACCAAACAAAGAAACACCAAGTGACCTGCTGTTAAGTACTGTGGTTTCAAAGCTCAAAAGTGATAGAACGAAGCGGATATCTCCAGTATTTTCCGAATTTAGCATTTTCCCATAGACTTAACATTACGACGTAATGACCTCTAACTGACCTCAGGTCAGTGACCTCAAAAAACCCGAACTATATGTTATACAACTCGGTGAACTCAGCACATCCTGAAAGTTTGAAGGAAATCAGTCCAAAACTGTGAGCTGGACAGGTGCAAAAAGAAAATTGAAATTTGACCATGACCTTGTACCGGTTTTTCTGACCTGGTGACCTGACCCAAGGTCACCCGGACCTGAAATTTTCAGGTCATATGTAAAAAGGTTGCCCCATAAGCTGTGCCAAATTTGGCGGCGCTGCGCGCCGCCGTTTTTACGCTATCTTCGAAAAACCTTAGGGGGGGGGTCGCATCGACCCCCCTGCCAGGGCGAGGGTTATGCAAGCATTAATTTATCCACCAATACCAATGGTAATTGGCAGTCAAGCCCGCACTTCCCAATTTCCTCAATCATGTTGCAATCATGTGGCAATCATGCTGACTTTATTGTGTCTAGGGCAAACAAAATGAACGGCATTCTTATGAGGGCGATGCAGTCTGAATCAAAAATTGGCATAGTAAACTGGAAGTCAATTTTGACCGCCTTCTATGGAAATGTTCGTGCGATATTAAAATACCTATTGTTGCGTCCTATGAGGTGGTGCGGCAAAATCGCACTTAGATAGAGTAGAAAAGATACAGTATCACTTTCTCGTCCCAGCCCGTCAGTCCCCCGTCCCGACCAGCCGGTCCCTCATCCCAGCCCGTCAGTCCCCCGTCCTAGCTAGCCGGTCCCTCGCCCCAGCCCGCCAGTCCCCCGTCCCGACCAGCAGCTGGTCTCCTGGTCCAGCTCGACGTGCGCCGAGGCGTATTCTGAGTTCTGACAGCTCACTTGAGAGCCAGATAAAGCCACCGCGCCAGGCTGTCCCCGTGGCGGTCTGCCGTCTCCATGGGCTTAGTTATCGGATCGCTGTCTTGGTGGGTTTAGTAAGCAAGTCGCTCTCCTGCTTGAATTATTACGAGCGAGCGAGCGCAGCGAGCGAAGTGAGTCTTTTCAATATAACGGAAAAATCTCAGTATGAGCGGCCCGGCCCGGCCCGGCCTGTAACGCTTTTGAGAGGCTTATATCTTAGCAACCGCTGGACCGATTGGCCTGCGGTCTTTTTTGTTGGGTAGCCCCATCCCTTCTACCCCGTAATTGACTACTTTTGATACATCTCCGTGACCGTCGTGGCACGTGCCACCGTCCACGTGAAAAGTCAAGGGTGTTCAAGCTGTTTTGCAAAAGTAGTGATTTTGAGAGGCTCATATATCAGCAGCCGCTTGGGCGATTGACTTGCGGTAATTTTTGTAGGGTAGCTGCATCCCTTCTACCAAAGGTCGGATACTCTTCATCTATGTGAGTGACCCCCACTGCACGTGCAAAATACAACAATAAGAGGTGCCAAATTTGTTCCCATTTCAGTAACTCGGTAATTACTGGGGCGATTTCGCCGAAACTTGGCATACAGGTAGGCACCCACCAGGCAATGCATTCCCATGTGTTGCGGTTAGGGTGCTACTGCACGTGCGCACGTGCAGGGGGCGTTTCCAGATCTCGAGAACGGCTGGGCCGATTACGCTCAAATTTGGTACACGGTTGGGGACCGGTTAGTAGGGTGCCGTGCAAAAGTCATTTTGGACCCCGTTTGCACGTGGGCACGTGCAGAATGCCGCTTCCAGATCTCAGGAACGGCTGGGCCGATTGCGTTCAAATTTGGTACACCGCTAGCGACCGGTTAGAAGGGTGCTTTGCACAAGCCCGTTGGAAGTACCCTCTCGCCCTTCTGCACGTGCAGGGCTCACTCTCGATCGCTCGTCCTTCGCCCAAAAGGCGTTTTACTGGTTACGAGCGAGCGAGCGCAGCGAGCGAACTGATTCTTTTCAATATAGCGGAAAAATCTCAGTATGAGCGGCCCGGCCCGGCCTGTAACGCTTTTGAGAGGCTTATTTCTCAGCAACCGCTGGACCGATTGGCCTGCGGTCTTTTTTGCTGGGTAGCCCCATCCCTTCTACCCCGTACCTAATTGACTACTTTTGATACATCTCAGTGACCGTCGTGGCACGTGCCACGTGAAAAGTCAAGGGTGTTCAAGCTGTTTTCCAAAAGTAGTAATTTTAAGAGGCCCATATCTCAGCAGCCGCTTGGGCGATTGTCTTGCGGTAATTTTTGTAGGGTAGCTGCATCCCTTCTACCAATAGTCGGACACTCTTGATCTATGTGAGTGACTCCCACTGCACGTGCAAAATGCAAAAAGAAGAGGTGCCAAATTTGTTCCCATTTTAATAACTCGGTAATTACTGGGGCGATTTCGCTGAAACTTAGCATACAGGTAGGCACCCACCAGGCAATGTATTCCCATGTGTTGCGGTTAGGGTGCTACTGCACGTGCGCACTTGCAGGGAGCGCTCCCAGATCTCGAGAACGGCTGGGCCGATTGCGCTCAAATTTGGTACACGGCTGGGGACCAGTTAGTAGGGTGTTGTGCAAAAGTCAGTTTAGACCCCGTTTGCACGTGCGCACGTGCAGAATGCCGCTTCCAGATCTCAGGAATGGCTGGGCCGATTGCGTTCAAATTTGGCACACCGCTAGCGACCGGTTAGAAGGGTGCTTTGCACAACCCCCGTTGGAAAGACCTTCTCGCCCTTTCGCACGTGCAGGGCTCACTATCTCGCTCGCTCGTTCTTCGCCCAAAAGGCGTTTTACTGGTGTAGCTATAAAGGGTACTGAACTGGCATTTATGTCGCTTGAAGTGTGGCAGCTTAGGTATGTACGAGGCTTGACAGTTGAAGCTGAGAGAACTAGTGGATAGTAAGAAGGTATTGATTTGGGTGTAACGCTACCCGTTTTAAATAATAAATTTCGTGTAACATTTCAGTAGGTCGCTTCAACTCAAATTTGTGGAAAATGTTCACTCTACCTGTAATGTTTGTGCTCATTGGGCTCGCCTCCCCAATCCGTTTTTATCTCTCAGTTGTTACTGTTACTCTGTTACTCTTCTGTTATATCTGTTACTCTTCCATCAATTGTTTAGGTTTGAAAAGCTTAAAGGAAATAGTTCACTGTTAACATGGGGTTTTGAACTGGAATGGAAGTTTTGTAGCTTGAGCTGAGGCCTGAGACTAGCACAAATCAGAAGCTTTTACGGCCCAACAATCACCCTATAGACCAAGATATTCCATTTCTCGTCCCGAAAAGAGTGTGCAGAGGAATGCGTGCCTTAACATTTTGAGCATAAAAATCATAAATCCATTGCAAAAAAACTTATTTCGGGAAGGTGAACTATTCCCCCCCCCCCCAAAAAAAAACGCTCTCAATGATCTTTCAGCCAACGAAAAGTGGACGGATGTCACTCCAAGCCAATGTGGTTGAGGACTTTGGTGTGCCACATGCTGTGTGTTGTCCTATGCTAAGTATGTGTCCGTGATACTAGTTTCTAAGCTGATAGCCCTACATCCCCAGCTTGACATCGCAAAATAGGTATGTATTGTACGCACAATACCACTTCGCCCGACCATTCCTCCGCAACTAAAAACACCAGTGTACATTTACACAATTCAGTAGCTGTAATGTTCTCATTCAAAAACCATATACAATGCATTCTAATCCAGACAACAGGTCGGTACAGACGCTAGTTTTGTACATGAAATACCACTGTCAATGAAGCTGTACATGAATCGTAAGATCAGGTCGCGCCGGGGGCGATATTTCCGTCACTGAATTCGTCAGGCTCTTGGGCGACGGAGAAAGTCACACAGCGCCTTCCATCAGTCGCAACCCAAACGTAAGCCCACATGTTAGCTAGCAAATAAATCACATTTCAGAAACGGTATAAACGCAGGAACTATTGAAACCGAAGCCTAGCTTGACGCACATCACGCGAGGACGCCGCCGAATACGTTAACAATGTACTCAAGTGCACCGTGAATTATGACATTGCCACAATGCGGCTCGTCCGATTCGGAGAGTCACCGAGAGGTCACAGCGCCACGGCGCTTCTGTACGGCTTCCTATAGTCGAAATAATATCTGAGAGTCGCCGCCGAACCGGTGCAGACGTGCTCGGGTCGCGGTCGCAGTAAAATGCCGGCCGTAGGTGGCACAGTCAGAGTCACAGGCGTAGAATTTCTGCGCGCGCGCACGTGCGCTGTTGTTCCAATTTGGGGGGTTGTTAGAAGTCGGCGGAGAGGAGCGCTCTGCTGGGGTAGCTCCGGCAACGGAGAGGAGCGCTCTGCTGGGGTAGCCGGCGGCGGAGAGGAGCGCTGGAGAGGCGGTGACGGGGAGATTTTGATCATATGCTACGAGACGCGCCCACCCAGCCAGTGGAGTCGGGCTGCGGGCCGGCGGCGGCGCCCGGCCGCCACCACGGCACGATATGAGGGCACACACTACGCACTAGAACCGACACACTGCACCGGGCGCTCCCTCTCTCACACCCGCTCCCTCTCTTTCCGCGTGTATGTGTGTGTGTGTGGGGTGCCCGCATGAACAGAAATGCCCGAACGCACAATGATATACCCTGTTGTTTCCATTATACAGTACGCGGCGGACGGAGGCACCTGCGGCGCTGGCGCCCCGGCCACGCGCCGCAGGGCGCGTCCGGCGTGACGTCAAACGGACCCCCTGCCCAGAGGCGTGCGCCCGGAACCCAACTGCCGCGCGGGGCACACACGCCAAACAAACGCTCCCGGCCACTGGCGACGGCACGCGGCGCCGCCGCCGCCGGCAGCAACAAATAAGGGTATCAGCACTACACGGGCCACACGGCCGGGCGGAGGCCGCTGGCAGCGAGCCGCGCGCTACCGTCCGCAGTAACAAATTATGTACAGTCGTCATCACATTGAACATACAGGAGCGGCGGCGCGGCGCACCGAGGGCGCCGCGAACGCCGCCTATTGCTGCCGCCCCACACTCCACCACACACAATCAGCACGGTGCACACCATTGCCGGCCCACCGAGCCACGCGGCCGATGAACACACAGTGAAGCAGTTGGTCGCCACGGCGGCGCGCCGCGCTCAGCACCATCTAGCGATGAGGCGGCGAAACACAGCTGTCCGGCGACACCGCTGCAGAGATCCGGGCGGCCACCTGGCGGCAAAGGTACACAACTGTTAGTACCAGGGTTTCGGCACCAGGGCGAGAGCGCCCTCTCTCGGGAGACCGGACGATCAGAGGGCGAAGAGGGTGCCTGGTCCGTGATTAAGGAATGGTGCGGCGGGGGTTACTGACGCCACGGTAAGGTACCGGCGCTACGGGGCTGGACGCCGTACTATCCCTGGCGCTTGTGCAGCAGCGCCGCGCCCTTTGGTACGGCGGCGCACCCTGCAGCCGGACCGCGCAGAGCGCGCCGCTGATTACCAATGCAAAAGGCCGGCTGTTTTGGCCGGGCACTCGGCGCTAATCTGGCGGCCCTAAAACTGCACGGCGCCGGGCCTCGAGCACGCCTGGACCGCCGCGCCAGCGCCAGCGTAATTACCGAATGCAAATCACAGTTGTATAATGGCTCGCCGAAATGCCGGTAGCGGGGCCGGTTACAGTCCAGGTCGGTCTGGGAAGGTCCGGGTCCAGGTCTGGATCTGGAGCTGAATCAGGGCTTGGGTCCATGTCGGGGTTTAGTCAGGTCTGAGATCTGAAGTCCGAATCAGATCCAGATTCGAGCCGAGACGGAGTGAGGTTAGGCCCCGGGTCCGATTTGAGGCCGGTCAGAGTCCGGTTTCAGGTGCGATCGGAAACGACTGAAGGGTGCCGATAAAGTCATGGATTCGGGAACGGATGCTCAGATTCAGGCTCCGCCGACTCAGACCTTGGTGCGTTCTGTGGTGTGTTGCCTTGCATTGACACAGAATAGAACAATTATCCTATTGTCCCTCTCCCTAGCGAACAAAACCTGAGAGTATCCTATCCAGGATGCCTGATCAACACGCACAATGTAACCACACAGGCGTAAGTTAAACACGCATTTATCAGCCTTGGACCACATTCAGATGTCGGCCAGATAATAGCGCGTGTCCCTGTCCAATATCCATGGTGCTACACCAGAGTGCGTTTTGTCGAGACTGCCGGGACTGGGCCCACCACCCGCCCCGGCTGACCCGGCCGCCGCCGCAGTAGGCACCAGGCACCTGCGGCTGCTACGGGTGGTGGTGGCCGCAGTACTGTCGCTGCCTGTATATACCTGCGGCTGCTACAGGTGGTGGCCGCAGTACTACCGCTGTGTATACCTGCGGCTGCTACGGGCGGTGGCCGCAGTACTGTCGCTGTACATATATACCTGCGGCTGCTACAGGACTACAGGTGGTGGCCGTAGTACTGTCGCTGTATATACCTGCGGCTGCTACGGGTGGTGGCCGCAGTACTGCTGCTGTATATACCTGCGGCTGCTACAGGTGGTGGCCGCAGTACTGCCGCGGTGTATATACCTGCGGCTGCTACAGGTGGTGGCCGCAGTACTGCCGCTGTATATACCTGCGGCTGCTACGGGTGGTGGCCGCAGTACTGTCGCTGTATATACCTGCGGCTGCTACAGGACTACAGGTAGTGGCCGCAGTACTGCCGCTGTATATACCTGCGGCTGCTACAGGTGGTGGCCGTAGTACTGCTGCTGTATATACCTGCGGCTGCTACAGTTGGTGGCCGCAGTACTGCTGCTGTATATACCTGCGGCTGCTACGGGTGGTGGCCGCAGTACTGTCGCTGTATATACCTGCGGCTGCTACAGGTGGTGGCCGCAGTACTGTCGCTGTATATACCTGCGGCTGCTACAGGTGGTGGCCGTAGTACTGCCGCTGTATATACCTGCGGCTGCTACAGGTGGTGGCCGCAGTACTGCCGCTGTATATACCTGCGGCTGCTACAGGTGGTGGCCGCAGTACTGTCGCTGTATATACCTGCGGCTGCTACGGGTGGTGGGCGCAGTAGTGTCGCTGTATATACCTGCGGCGGCTACGGGTGGTGGCCGCAGTACTGTCGCTGTATATAGGTACCTGCGGCTGCTACAGGTGGTGGCCGCAGTACTGTCGCTGTATATACCTGCGGCTGCTACGGGTGGTGGCCGCAGTACTGTCGCTGTATATAGGTACCTGCGGCTGCTACAGGTGGTGGCCGCAGTACTGCCGCTGTATATACCTGCGGCTGCTACGGGTGGTGGCCGCAGTACTGTCACTGTAGGTATATACCTGCGGCTGCTACAGGTGGTGGCCGCAGTACTGTCGCTGTATATACCTGCGGCTGCTACAGGACTACAGGTGGTGGCCGCAGTACTGCCGCTGTATATACCTGCGGCTGCTACAGGTGGTGGCCGCAGTACTGTCGCTGTATATACCTGCGGCTGCTACAGGTGGTGGCCGCAGTACTGTCGCTGTATATACCTGCGGCTGCTACAGGTGGTGGCCGCAGTACTGTCGCTGTATATACCTGCGGCTGCTACAGGTGGTGGCCGCAGTACTGTCGCTGTATATACCTGCGGCTGCTACAGGTGGTGGCCGTAGTACTGTCGCTGTATATACCTGCGGCTGCTACAGGTGGTGGCCGTAGTACTGTCGCTGTATATACCTGCGGCTGCTACAGGTGGTGGCCGTAGTACTGCTGCTGGTAGGCGGCCGCCGCCGCGTAGTCCTGGTACGGGTCGCCGGTCCGGTGCAGCATCTGCTGGTGCGTGTCCATCACGTAGCCCATGCTGGCCGCCTCTGGCGAGTAGGCCGCTGCCGGGCCCGGGAAGCCCACTGCCGACACACGGGCACGGGTGGGGGTCAGGCAGGGGCTCCGAGGGACACCAACACTGCGGTCACACGGGCAGCGTGCAGAGGTCAGACAGGGGCTCCTCCGAGGGACACCAACACTGCGGTGACACGGGCAGCGTGCAGAGGTCAAACAGGGGCGGGGGAGGTCAGGCAGGGGGCTCTGTTGGCGCTGGGCGGTAACACGAGGGTGCAGCTATAAACGGGGGACCCGTGACACACTCTTTGCCCGAGATAAGCACTCAAGACATGACAGTGACCGCAGGGCATCTGTTACACATGAAAGACTCGCCAAATGAAACAGCTTGGAAAGGAGTTCTCGAAATGTCGGGCCTGTACATAGAGTAAGCAATTTCTTTGACCGTTCGCTAGGCCCTCCAGCACACAGAAACACAATTCGACAGGCCCTTCAACGGCATGCAGAATCGACATCATAGATCTATATGGCACTCCCATACAAGTGCTTCCAGATCAGCATGGACGGACGCCCTTCCATGAATAACAGCTGAAGCTACCCTGCGCCCGTTTGAACACAGCCGACCCGCTCCAAGAACCGACAGAGACAGTCCGATCAAATGGCCAGGACTGGCGGCCACCGAACCCCTTTGAGTGCCGCATGGCGAGGGTCCCGTACCGGGTAACGCACCGCGGGGGGGGGGCTGGAACTGCACCGCAGGGGGGGGGGGAGGGTGGAACTGCAGCCGTGCGCGGGCGAAACGCCCCTCTGCACCGGGATCAGACGCGCCCTCTCCGCAGCCCGGGTTCGCGGAAGCGGCGGCGGCCCAGGGGTGCGGTGTTGGGCAGGAGACAGGGAGCCGTACCCTAGCGAAGGAGCGCGGAGCGTACCCATCAGGGCGGGCTGGAGGCAGACACCGGCCCTCCCCGGACCTACTACCCCCCAGTCCTGAATCAGGGCCTGGGCACTGGACAGAGGACAGTGTGCAGGTCCTTTACCACCGTCTGCTCAGCGTGTGCGTCCACGATTCAAGCCAATATCTATCCAATACTGGGTCCCCACTTTGTATCCCCTTCCACCGGTCACATCTCGAGCTACCCTATCCCTCCATTGAACAGTTCGAACCAGACTCTTCTTTTCCTCCCATTTCCAATACTTACTTATCATATTTTCTAGCTCTGAGGCCAGTTTTACCAACAGAAAAATAGCCGCCTGCCGGAATTTTTTGCCTAAAGACCGCTTCAACTATGTGCCGTAAAGGGTAAAGCCCTATCCGCTTACGTGCCCAGCACGTTTACGCTCCGTATGTGAAGCGGTCTTTAGGCGAAAAATTCCGGCAGGCGGCTATTTTCTGTTGGTAAAACTGGCCTCAGATCCCATTGCACCTGAGTGACGGCCTGTCTGATCCCGCGCCGGCATGGTCCTAGCTCCAGTCCTTCGCACCTCGGCGCCTGGCCCGCGGCGGCTCGCTCCCTCCCGGCGCCGCCGCGCCACCCCAGGCAGCGGCCCGCCGGCGCCGCTCTGTGACACGCCGCGCCTCCTCGGCCGTCATTGTGGCCGGCCGCGCCACGCTCGTCATGGCCGCGCCGCGATTGTCGCGTCTTTGTGCGCGTCTGCGCGCCGCCCACGACGCGACACCGAGCCCCGTCACGCGCGGCCGGACGCCGTCACGATCCAAACGACGCACGGAAATGGAGCTGGGGACGCGCACCGCGCCCGTGACGCGTCACGGATTGGTCGGCGTGACGGTAGGGTAGGCGGCTGGCGCTGGGCTCGGGACTGTCTCGGGAGGGAGGCGGTGGGACCGCCGCGCGGTGCCGAGTGACCCGCTGTGTGCGCGGTGCCGGGCAGAGCGGAGAGCACGGGTCACGCCGGGCCACCAGGGACCGCCGCCGGCTGAGAGCGGGCGCTCCGTGTCAGTCACGCCGCTGTGACGCCGCTGCTCGCTGTGACTGCGGCCCGGCCATCGATGACTTATTCATATGCCGGCCGCCGCCGCCGAGTCCGCCCGGCTCCCCGGCGGCGCGTCAAATTCCGCCCCGGCGACGGTCGCCAAATCCGAAATCGGCCATTATTGTAATTGGCTTCATTCTGGGCCGATCGGCCGGCGGCGGCGGCGGCGCACCGTTTAGCTAAGCCAATCGGGGCCGGCCGGCCGTGCCCCGCCGTGTTTTAACTCTGGCCAAAAACTGGCCAGGACGCGAAATATCGACTATTTTTAAACGTTTTCATTTGGCCACTATCGTGTTCAAAAATGATCAGAGCATCTTTAACGACGGAAGCTTTTATTCTCTTAACTTTTAAAAAGGTTGAAAATGTACAACAAAGTCAGACAACTCTCAAAAGCTAAACTTCGGCGAACAAACGCAGAAACAGTCGCCTTGCTTCACGTCAACATCTTCGAGCGTTGGATTAACAAAACTATATAATTTGGGTACCAAACGATAGCGCGAACTTTTGGCTTTGTAATGAGTCATAATTTATATAATTATAATGCATATAGGTGTTACATTTAATGATTTTCGTCAGCCCTTACATTGGCACACTTTTTTGAAAAATGTCAATGTTCTTTTAGAGCTACAAAAAATTGTACGCTAGTGTACGGTCTCAGACTACCACCACACTGTAGGTCAAGGAGTTGTCTACGTGTCCTCAAAATTTCAGCTGCGCCTGAGTGCGCCGGTGTTGGGGGTGAACACTTTTTTGAATGAGTCATGTCTGTTCCTGCTGAGCCATGGGACGGGCTCTAGCGTGCGTTAAGGGAAATGCTAGTACTCCTCGTTCATTCTCTCGTCTATTGTGACGAGTTGGTGGCCAATGGAAGGTCGCCGACCTGTGTGCGACTTGCCGTACCCTGGGGCGTAATCAGCTGACGGCACGACCCCCCACGACACGTGCCAGTTGCATTTTTATGTGTCGCGAGAAGAAAGCAAAGGGTCTCCGGAACACAATGTCGGTGAATGACAGTTGTTCATTCAAAAACTGCTAGCATTCCTATGAAATATACATTTCTTAAATATCAACAGCATTATCGGTATAATCTATTATGTATAGTACCTATAGGTCTATAACAGGAACTTTCCACTCCATGGCTATTGCAGGAAATTCATAGATGGGCTCTGGAGCTGTATGGTCGCTACACATGCTTGCTTCATGCTTGATAGTTTATAAACATATCTTAGTACCTGATGGAGCGCAATAAAATATTCATTGTGCCCAGTTTGCGATGGGACTGCGAACTGAAAAGTGACTGTATGAGACCGGCCACAGCACGCATCGCTGATCACGATGATCGGCAGGGTTACCATCAGCCAGTATTAATACGTTCGACGTAGGTGGAATGGTATCATTAGTGCTGTCCACCTTTATGAAAAAGTATCCATTTGCTGCAGTAAGCGTCAGTTAGTATGGTGCCATACTAATCATTCCACATTCATCGGAATGTGGAATACACATTCCGGATCTAGATCCCAATGAAGTGCTTTTACGTGCACGTTGCATGTTACATAACGCACCATACAATAGGAATTGGTAAGAAGTTTTGGGATACATTCTACCATTTCACGTCATGCAATGGCGGATCCAGTGAAGGGCATAGTGGGTATTTGCCCTCCCCATAGCTGAGTCGTGTGGGCAAGACTATCCTTTTCCGCTCCCAAAGCTTTTGATGATGATAAACATAATACGGCGTCGATGCCTATCTGGACGAAAAGCAGGTCTTTCCGTCACAACCATTCTGAGGGATGGAGCTGACCGCTCGCTGCTCATTACCTATTTAGGTCGGTATGCTGATAACAGATGGGACTCCCTGAACTGCACACATGCAGCTTGCAGGCGTAGCGAAGCGTTGTTAAGTCACCGGCGCGGCGGTGGGTCGGGGTCGCCGGATGGGTCGGAAACATTTGCCCTCTCCAAACGGATAAGCTGGATCCGCCCCTGACGTCATGTGACGTAAAACATACAAGACTCTGGACTTACTAAAGTGGAGACCGGGTTAACATCAAGTTGATATCAAAACATACGTTTAAAATGTTTTTGAAATAAATATAAAGATTGTAGGTCCTATATGAATAAGTCTTATAACTATAAGAGCATTCAAGGTCACCTGAGGTCATCAACGCTAATTAACAAGGTCATGTCCTCAAACTTGACTTGCCTCGTCGATGAGCCTTGCTAAGACTCGCGGTTATTCTAAATTTATACATACCTAAATGTTCGTGCATTCATAGCTAGAACATGACAATATTTGTATATGTTTCGTGACACGTGTGACGTCATTAACAAGTACATAAGCATCTGGTCCGACATATTTTGCACTTAAAATGATCGTAGTCTCCAACGTTTCGTTTGAGCCCAAAAACACGTATGTATCTCATATAGTTTCTTAGTTATGAGCCCTGGCCAGTTTTGGTCCCGAGTTAAAACATAGTGCGCCGCCCGACTCGGCTCTGGCAGCTGACTGACACCGGCCGCCGGCGACAAATCGAAATTAATCGCGCCTCTTGGAGCGGCGTCTGCAGCGCGGCCCGCAGACAAACACAGGGCTAACGGGCCCGGCCGCCGCCATTGCGCTGGCCGCCGTGACGTCACGCTTTTTGGGGCCGCCGGCCGGTGCCAAACAAAGCGGCTTGTCGCCGTCAGACAGCCGATAGCAATAAAATAAACACGGGCCGGCCGGCGCATCCCGTTTGGCGACAGAGACGGCGCCGCCGAACAGGGCCGTCCATCGGCCGGCCGGAGGATCGCTCACCGTTCGGCGGCCCGTGCAGTCCGTGTCGGCACCGAGACGGAGTCGGCACTCGGCTGCAGAGGTGCGCGGCCGGGCCGGCCGGCCGGGGCCCGCCGCACCGGGCACAGCGCCATTAGCATAAATTTCCATAGTTTGGAGTTGCATGCAGACCACTCATTACGCCACACTCATTACATGCACTTGCAATTAGACGCTAGGCGACGGCGGGCCACGTGACTTACCGGCGCGATTTGATTGGTCAATCATGGGCTGGACGATGCGCCGCCGAGCGTTGATGAACCTGCGGAGAGGGACAGTGGGTGAGCACCGTGCAACGGCCGCCGAACACGAACACACAGCGCGAATGGCCACACCGCGCCGACATTTTGGGCCGGCGACACGAAATGGCCGCACGGCCGGCACCCACAGCACATATGGACGTAATTCGCAATGAAATACCAACTACGTTACTGTATTTCAAGTGTTGAGAATACACATACTTAAAATCCGAATGCAAATATGAATGCTACCATCAGTTCTTTTAGCAATGAAACGCATTTTAAACTTCCAATCACAAACATTAAATAAAACCACCACACTCCCCTGGCTTTTTCCATCCACAGCGCACAGCGTAAATGGGACAATCTTTTTCGACGCATATTTTGCATAAAATTAATATCTCCCTGGAGGAAGATGCTGCGAAATGGAATTTTTCCGCGGCGGCTGGCTCGAGTGCGGCGGCGGCGGCGCGGGCTGTTGTTGTCGGGCGCGGCCCGGTCCCCGCCGTTCCGACACCGTCTCCCTGGTGAGCCCACGCCCGATCGCGCCGCGCCGTCACTTGCTCGGTAAATTACGATAAAAAACCACAGCGCATTATTAATTTGATCTCATCCGCTGGGACGGCGCAGACAAAAAACGTCCGCCGAAAGAAATGGCTAGCGCCGCGCGCGAGGGAGGAAAAAGAAATATTCATGCCGGATAAACAACAATAATGGCCCGGCGGAATTGGCTGAAAATGAGCTTCGCGGTGCCTCTCGCGGCGAGACCACCAGAACGAATGGCACAGAATTGCTGGCTGATCTGTGGCGGCCACATTGGAGGGCGCCGTGCATCTCTGTCTGGCGATATCGCCGTGCCGGCTGCCGGGCACCCTATTTCACATGGTTCACGATAGGACAGCGGGCGCGGCGCTCCAGAGAACACTGGTCTCGGGCCGCTATCTCGGCCGAGACACATACATCTCTCGGGCCGTCGGCTGTGGGGCGCGCTGATAAGGGCGCAGCGGCCGGCCCGTCCATCTCTGCTCCGGACCGGGCCGGACCCGTCTGCAGACCACCGCCGCCGGCGCGCCGACTCTCGCCGCCTCGTGATCTATGGACGCGCCATGAACGTCTGGCCGCCTCACGGCCGCCATCTTGTATCGGAGAGGACCGCGCGATCTGCGCGCCGGCGACGGACGACAGCGACCCGGAGCGGGCGTCGAGATCATTACCATCGCGCCCTCTGCCCACCGCCGCCGGCGCAAAAACGCTTAATCACGTCTGCCAACGGCTGCGACGCGCGACAAAAAGTCGAACGAGCGGCGCTTATTTAATTTGGCCGGCCACTCGTTGGGACGCTATCGCCGTCCGATCCCGTCCGTGGGGCGCGGACACTTTTTGGTCGGCGGTGGGCGTCGGAGCGTCGCGGACGGACGGGTGGCGCCGGACCGTCTAAGGCCGGCCTGTCTCCGCCGGCCGCCGCTCACCTCCGCTATCACCGCCGCTCATCGCCACTCGTTCGAGGCGATAATTTATCCGGCGCTTCCGTAATTTATTCGGCCATTGTGGCGGCGGATAATAATTGTTATCACTGTGCGGGGCGGCCGAGACGCGCGTCATCCAGCGATCCGGTCATTACTCAATCAAGCGGCGATCGGCGGACGGCGGACGGTGAGGAATGCCACCGCAGCATACCTGGAGAGCGGCCCACAATGCAGCATCCCCGAGTCACCGCGCACCCTGTGATTACTGCCGGCCGGGCAGCTGGCCGCCGCGCCGGCCACCATCTAATGGAATCCGGCGCGCGCTATGGCCGCTCTGCGCCGGCCGCCGGCTCCTCCGGCTGCTCTCGGCCCGTTGTCCGCGCACCGGCCGTAATTACAGGTCCGCGCCGGCCGCTTTACGAGCCTCGATACACGGCGCGCCCGGCCGGCATGACGCGGCGCTCGCCAGGAATGCCGCACTGCGCCGCGCTCGTCTCCGGAGGCGTGCCGGCCGCGACGCGCCACTCATCGTCGCGCCGGGCGGCGACACGGCTCCGATATCAGTGGCGCCGCGGCCGCGGCCATAATCCGTCCGGCCGAATTCAGCGCGCACAATGCGCACCCCGCTCACTTGTCATCAATAACACGGCCCTGCCCGGCGACGGGCCGGTGGCCGCCCAAAGGGGCCAAATTACCAACTGTTAAAACGGGGCGGGGCGCCGGCACCGGCCATACACTTATGTCACTTCTGAACCAAGGAACGCCGGCGGAACCGGCTATTTTCTTGTTTAACCCTATCCGGATATGATTGGATTTATATGGGAGCCGCGGGGTGCGGGCCTGTAATTGTGGGCGCTGCCGAATTCTAAGGCCGGCCAGGTGGTGTTCGGTGTTCGGTGCTCGGACCGGCTGGCTCTCCCGGCTCGGAGAGCGGCGCCCCTCTCGGTGCCGGTGTCCGGCCCTCCCGCGCCGGCGGCGTTCATGTCCAACACGGTAGGCACGTGCGGCCGCTCACCGCCATCCTTCACGCAGCCTCCACATGATAAGATAGCACGCAACGGCGGCGTCCAGACGGCCGGGCGCCGGCGCGGGCGCCGCAGCTCCGGCAGCCGAGCTGCGCAGCCCGCCTATTGACATATCGGCCGGCGAGGAGGGGCTTACTGAGAGCCGGCCGGCCGCTCGGCAAATGGCAGCTCGGCCAGAGCTGCGCTATCGATCGGCGCAGCTCGGCCGTCTCCGTCCGCCGACCGTCTCAGGCCGACGGACCGACCGTCCCTCTATCTCAGCGCCAAGACGGCCCGGAAACCCTCGACCCGACCCGTTCCAGCCGTAGCGCTACTCGTACATCCGCCTCGCTGCTTGTCCCGTGTCCCATCGAGGACCCCTTGGACGGTGATTCACAGGCAGTCGCTGCTCAGCCGGCCGGTCGTACCGGGCTCAGTTGTGATGATTTAGCACCTCTCACGACGGACGAGGCCAGGCTGTGTCGCTTCGAGAGCGGGCCTGCACGCGCGTCCACGAGCCATCAGAATATAAGCCCGGCCACAGAGCCGCAGCTGCAATACTGACACCGGGCTCACGCTAACGGATGACGTCATAAAATGGCGCGGACGTCACGGCAAGGCGTGGAGTGACGTCAAACTCAGGTGCTTCGCGTAAATCCTCGCGGATTTTGCATGAGCATTGAGCACGTGTCCGGAGTATAAAAGATCACAGCCTACAGACGAGCATGGAATGGCAGTTGAAAATGAAAACCATCGGGCTCAAGGTTCCTTGGCTGTCACTCACAGTGGTGCAAAATCCATGGATACGCCCCTGTGGTCACAGCCAGAAAGCTCACAGTGTGAGAGCCCACACGCCCCCTACCACAGTCTCCTGTGAGCCTGCACGGAGAGACGCATGGTTAGGACTGGGTCTCTCGGCAAACAAGAGCCCCTCACCAACGTATCCCTGACCAATCTCTCATGTTCCCAAACGTGATCAGTGCGGCGTGAGACTCTCGCGTTTCCAAACGTGAAGCTCGCGATCCGGGTATTATTTTTCACACGCAGCCGCAGCGGCCTGTCCCCCGAGCCGCAGACGGCACGGTCGTAAACCGGCCACCAGGAACGCCCGCCCGCCGCCAGATTTGCAGATCGTAACATCGTGATACCTCCCACTCGAGTGGCGCCCTATTGGCGACCGGGTGTTACCGCTTCAGCAGAATCGCCGCTTTATGCGCTTTCTATGGGCGTCGGCGGGGAGATGCGGGCTCGGCGTTCAGGTTAGTGCTGTGAGCTGTGTCGTAAAGGCGACGACGGGCGGCGAGGGACACCTATGCTGAGCGGTTGACTGGCGAACTCCCCCCACTGCGGCCGCCGCCCCGATCATAGCCGATAGCGGGCCCATCAGCGGGAGGGCAAACGACGAAACGACTGCAACTGACGCGCGGACGGCATCTCGGCCGCCGCCTCCGGCACTGCGGCGCTGCGGACGGGCGGGGAGCCGGAGCCAGACCGCCGCTCGGTCCGCCGACCCGCCGACCCGTGCCGACGACCCGGCGACTTTAATCGCGCCGCCGCAGCGGGCGGTCCCAGATCGAAAATGGCGAGCGCCCGCTCAGCCAGCCGTCAATCGTCTGCTGCCGCCGTAACTCGCGGCGGCGGAGCGGCGCCGCCGCGGCCGGCGCTCTGTTGCAGCGTGCGCCGCGCCACCCGCTGCCGCTCTCATAAATTTGTCAATAGGGGCAGGTAGCGGCGGCGGCGCCCCGTGGCGCGCGCTATTACTGCACCGGTAACGACGCAGGCCGCGTCGCTGCCGACGGGGGGCCGCTGTGCAGCGCTCCGCCGGCGGCATCGACCGCGGGTCGCGCCGGAAAGTCCCGAGCCGACCGGATACTGAGCGGGCGGCGGCACGGCGCGTGACCCGAGGTTGGTCGTCACGGGTCGGCCGGCGGTTCAGCGGGTCAGCACAGACGGCTGTCCACATATGGTGCGGACGGGGGTCGGCCGCCAGCGGATAGGGGTGTCTCCCGGTTCTAGGAGACGCGTCTGAGAGACAGCGGGAGACGAGACGACGAGATGGTGCAGGGGGCGGGACAGAGAATCTGGCCAGGTGTCGGCGCTGATTCTCGTGTTCTTACGACTGCCAGTGGTGGCTAGCCAAAGCCTCTATGATTGAGCAGGTGTGAGGTGGAACGAACACGACTTTTTGTTTTATTTAAAGATAAAGCCACAATATTCCGGTACGGTAACCACTCGCCCGCGAAATCGAAGCACGCTCCGAACATCACGAAGGAGGTGGTGGCAAACATCGGGAAAACCAGAATGAAATATCAGCAGCCCGCAGGATTTCAAACATCAGCAGCCCACAGGATTGCGGTGTGGTGGATTCGGGCCGACCGCGGCGCCGGCTCGTGATGAAGCTACCCGGCCGGCCGGCGGAGCTCTGTGGCATTTAGCGATGGCCAGACATTGACACAAGTAATCCTGATGAAGTGACGTCGGGCCGCGGGCCGCCGGTCGTCCGTCCACCGTGTGACAAACAGGATTACCGCGGGGCCACGTGGCCACTGCCAG